CACAAACACATCTATAAAATGATTGTGTCTGACCCCCTTCTGGACAATAATCTCAATATTGAGGGAGGGTGGGACAAAGAGATTGCACTCAAAGTCAACCACCACCACCTCAAACCAATGGGCCACTTCTGATATCTTCTGATAAGCATTCATGCAAGCTTAAATTGCAGTGCACAACGCCAGCAGCAAACACTCCAGCTTGCTAAGCACCTGCATGGAGGTGAGGGTTTGTTGGTTTACCTTGCAGGCAAAGCTGGCTTGCTAAGCACCTGCATGGAGGTGAGGGTTTGTTGGTTTATGTTGGTTTACCTTGCAGGCAAAGCTGTCCCGCACTACCGGACCAGGGGCTGCACGCGAGAGCAGGAGGACGACGGTTGAAAGCCCAACGTTCTGCAAGTTGGCGACCGGAGTGTGCGACATTGAGCAAGTGCCAACTCTCTCGCCTCTTCGGGACTCTAGACGGGCTGCCAGCAACATCCACAAGTCCCAGACCAAGAAGCCGGACAGTGCATTCTGAAGTCTGTCTGTGGTACTCATGGACTGGTGCACGCAAGGACTGTAGAGCAATGCAGTGGTCACTGAAAAGAGAAGAGCTCCTCTGCAATGCCATGGAACGGCCCGCATTTCCAGCTGCTCTCCTTCATTTGAGGTGATCATATAATCTGGACAGCAGAGGAGTGCGTGAAGCAAATCGCTTTGCGCATCTTTTTTCATGAAGGCAGGACCGGGAAGTCCGTTCAGCAAAGCTCCGGCGAAATCTACGTAGTAGTTTCCCAACATAACGGTTCTGCCTGCGCTCATCAATTGTCCTCCCGTATTTTTTGCTCCATGGCCTTCAGTGAGTGTTCGAAGCACATTATTTCACATGATTATACAGTCAGGTGAAAAATGAAAATACCTGCTGCGCAAAAGATAAAGAGTGTCAAAGGAAGAGTCTAGGCGCAAACTCCGGGCAATGCCAAATAGCATTCTCCTTCGAACATGGCATACTTGATGGGTAGCCGTGGCAGTGGATTCTCCGGAAGCTCTAGATAACTAAGCCGGTTGAAGAACCGAAACGATGGGTCGCTAACAAGCTTCAGGTCTTCCGATGTGGGAGTTCCAAACAGCAAACGTCGCAAGGCCTGATGTTGCGACGCAGCATCGAAAATGACACCCACGACAAGGTCACTGGCTTCGTACAAGAAACGATCCATAATCTTCAGAATAGTCATGGAATCGGTTTCAGCGCAGTGCAATGGCAGCTGCAATGGGCTCAAGGGAAAGTGCTCTTTTGAGCATGGGTCCCAAGCAAGAATGGTGAACCTTGGGGAATTCTTGTAGACAATCAACATGAGTCAATACTCATGAGAAATCAATACTATACATGAACACTCATCTAAGAACAATGCAACATTTTTTTTCTAAACCAAGAGACATATCAGTTGCCTTTTTAGCTCTTGCAATGTCAAAATCTTCGGTCAACTCTTGCGCGGCCACGCCCTTCTCCGTTGCAGACCAGGGTGCCCCAACGAGAGAAACGTGACCTGCCTCATCGATATGCTGGCAAATCGTCTGCAGCAAATATGTAGAGTCAAATGCAGCCACTAGACGGCCTGTCAGAAATGATGAGAACACAAATGAAAACATTTACTGGAAAACAAATATAAAACACGCATGAACAAATCTTGAATATATACTTATCATTACTTATCCATCCTAGTTGCGACCAGAAGTGTTCGTCATTGCTGATAGAAGCTGATCGATGAGTTGCAAATTGCTTGAAAGACGACCATCAATGTCTAGGGCATTGAAGGGCAGCGGAAGAGATGCATCCTGCAGAGACTTGTAGACATTCTTCTTTCCGAACGGTTTCGTATGGGCGCCAAACAGTTTCAGCAAGTGTGCGTTTCCTCTGCTGGCCAAGCACAATGTTCTACCGGCTTCCGACGCCAGTTCCCGAGCTGCCTCTGAGTACATGATGGAGGCCTTGCCAATCTGCCCCTGTAGGCTCAATCCGGCTTGCTCTCTCTCTGCCACCCGCAAACAGGAAAGGATCAGCCCCTGAAAAAGAGGGTTCGACTCCAGCTTTCCAGTGAGGGATGCTTGAGCAATCATGACTCTGATCTTTTCAAGCTCATCCACGCTAGGAGAGGACAGGAAATGCTCAAAGGAAACCTGAGCTTGGAGCAAAATAGGTCGGTGCTGATTTGCTGTGGCAAGGTTTGCGCTCAGGCAAGGCGTAACCACAAGGTCCATAAAGCTCTTGAATTCAGCATTTCTCTGATCATAGCGAGTGGAAAGAAAGGTTGAGCGTACCCACTGTTGCAATTGGTAGCCTTCAAAGCTGAATATTTTCTCCACAGAGCTTCGGTGACGATGCCACAAAACATCTTCCTTCGCTGCATCCAAGCGCTTTCTCTGCTGCTCTTCTGTTTCAAAGATCTTGGCAAACAGAGTCTCTGCCGCCAGTTTCTTCAAGGCACACTTTGCGACATTCCTGCGTAAAGAGATCAAGGACTTACATTTCTCACAGAAAGTTTTGCCATTTGCATTGCAGAGAAAGCCAGTGCATTCGTAGTGGCGAATTGTGTAGGTTCCTGAAGCCGAATCCCACACATAGGAATGTCTTTGTAGATCCTGACATGGTCCTCTCCATGTGATCCACAGCTTGAAGTGGTGGGCATACTCGTGCAGCAAATGACTCTCGTCAATCAAAGACAGCGCCTGACATGGTGTCTTTTCTGGTCCATCTTTTGTGAGCTTGTCCTTGTCCTGCAGCTTTCTCTCAGCCAGGAGTCTCCTATGCTGCTGGCCGCCACAGTGCTGACTTGTGAAGAACAGCGCGTCTTTGGGCTTGTATGAATGCAAATCAAAGACTTTGCCATCATATTGCTTCTTTGACGTGCAAAGCGAACACCGTGCTGGCACTAGCTGCTTCATGCCCAGGGTGCGTGGAATTACCTGCCGCAAATCGTGCGTGGCAAGCAACAAACAGACACAATAAAATGAGCAAACCTACCCCTGCAAGGGATAAAAAATACATAAGAGCCTACTTAATCTCAGGAACTTTGTGATGTTTTCTTGAAAACAAAAGTAATAATGAATATATATAATGTCATTAAATTAATCATATCTTAATATATCTTATCTTTTCCCCTCTCTATAAAATAGGCCTCCTGACCCCCCCGAAGGCATACTTTTCCAGATGCCTTAAGCTGAGCCTTTCCTATCCATGTCATTTGCATTTAACTTCTTATCATTTCCCATTCACCCCTTGCCTAGTAGGTCTCCTGATGGCCCCTGGCAGTGGTCTCCTCATAATGATTGATGATCTGACCCTTTACCCCTCTATAAAATGGGCCTCCTAACCCCCCAAGGTTGACTTTCCCAGAAGCCTTAGGCTGACTGAGCTTTTCGTATCTTATCCTCGACATTTCCCATCATTTCCCACTAGCCCCTTGCCTGGTAGTTCTCCTCATGGCCCCTTCTAAAGGATTTCCTGATGGATCCTGATGGTGTGCCTCTATAAAATGACTAGTCTGACCCTTTTTCCCTCTATACAATGGGCCTCCTGACCTCCGAAAGGCTGACTATTCCAGATGCCTTAGGATCAGCCTTTCTATGCCTTTCTTATCCCTGTAATTTTCCACTCACCCCTGGCCTTATGATGCCTTATGGCCCCTGCTAGAAGTTCTCCTGGCGGTGTGCCTCTATAAAATGACTAGTGTCACCCTTTTCCCTCTATAAAATTGGCCTCCTGACCCCCCAAAGACTGACTTTTCCAGATGCCTTAGCCTCCATCATTTCAGACTAGCCCATTGCCTGGTAGTTCTCCTCATGGCCCCTTCTAAAGGATCTCCTGATGGATCCTGATGGTGTGCCTCTATAAAATGACTACTCTGACCCTTTTCCCCTCTATAAAATGGGTCTCCTGACCCCCCCCAAAGACTGACTTTTCCATATGCCTTAGCCTCCATCGTTTCAGACTAGCCCATTGCCTGGTAGTTCTCCTCATGGCCCCTTCTAAATCTGATGGATCCTGATGGTGTGTCTCTATAAAATGACTACTCTGACCCTTTTTCCCTCTATACAATGGGCCTCCTGACCTCCCAAAGGCTAACTATTCCAGATGCCTTAGGATCAGCCGTTCTATGCCTTTCTCATCCTTGTCATTTCCAATTTTACCTCTGGCCTGGTAGGACTCCATTGTCCTAGGGTCAATCTCCTACCGTCTCCTATATATATATATTGAATATATATTTATAAATGTATTTATCATTATTTATCTAATTTTATCTACAGTATATGATTTATATGAAATATGAAATAATATGAAATTATAGCATCTTGGGGGGTTATGACAACTCATTTTATAGAACATTGATTGTTGTAGAGTCGCATTCTTTATCAAACTTCTACAGTTGCAATCAATAGTTAAATAAATTAAAAGGCAAAAAACAAAAGAAACTCGGGTACTCTGCCTCACAGTACAGGTCAACTGTCCGCATCAATGCTTCCACCGTCAAATCCTGCGCAGTCTCTTCTGGCTCTTGCTTGACTTCTGTCTCTGCTGCCTCTGCTGCCTTGTCCGGGACAAGATCGGCATGATCATCTTTGGTTTCCTGCTCATCACAGTCATCCCATTCAAGACCAGCCATCCACTTGTTTGCTGTCTCTTGCGAATATCCATAGTGACTCAAGAGATGCTTGCAAGCCTCACAATTCTCCTCATTCTCCTTCTTGGCGACAAAAGAGTTCAGCCAATCTGTCCACAAGCCATTTTTGCATTGGCCCGCTTTCTTGGTGCCAGACATTCGCCAATGCAGTGGTTGCCACTTGGAATAGGAAATGCCTACATGTGCCAGGTATCTCCTCAAGCCTTTGAGCTTTGTCTGCAAGTTGGTGAGCTTCTTTTTTTTGCAAGTTCGCACCCGTCTCATGCCTTCAGGCTTGTGCTCGACAATCACTGCACTATCTTGCGCTTCTGGTACTTCAATCTCAGCGTCTTCAGCATCTTTCTGGCTCTCTCTATCCTTTTTCGGTGGTGCTTTCAGCTTCATCTCTGGTAAATTCTTCTTCCACCCAGGAGCCTTTGAGTGGGTTTCCACCACCTTAACATCAGGCTTTTGCTTTTTCCAAGATGCTTTCTCCGGGGGAGTCTTTGGAGAAGTCATAGCCTTCTCCTTTGGGCGCTTTCTGGGAGTAGCTGGACCTTCATCTGTGATCAGAACCTTGAATAGATTCTGCCAAACAGCAAATTTACGAAGTTCTCCCCAAGACATCTGCAATTCCTTTCGAATTGTCTGCGCAAGCGCGAGACTCTCTTGGGAGCTTGGATTGAGGCATTCATGGTCGTCGTCATTGAGAAAGACGTCCTTGCCCAAGGCTATATATGACCAGATCAAACAATTCCCGTCTCCTGGAACATCCATGGGGAGTAGGGAAGAGGCCACACATCTTTGTCGAAATCTTTCCCAAGACTGTGCACGCTGTAGCTGATCGTTCATGTCATCCATCAACTGCATCTTGTGGTCATGAAGGTCTGCATTGCCAGGATCTTTTTGCATGGCCTCGAGCAACTCTTCCTCCAGCCTTAGAGATTCTGACGCACACTCAGCCACATGCAACTCGGAGTTGGCCTTGGCCACGTTCACAAGAGACTGGAAAATGCGCTCTCCAACGCAGGACTCGGATACAGCTGGAACAAAGTGGTTGATAGCTGCAACGCCGCTTCCTGGCTCGAAGCTTGCGTTTGTCAGAATGAAAGTCCAAATCTTATCTGGATTCCCACTCAAAGAAAAGATAGATCCAGGAGATGATCCAGGAACAATGCCTGTAAAGTACTCTTCGAGGGACACAGCCTCCAAGGGTTTGCTCAGAGAGTCCAAGACAATCCTGGCATCCTGAGACGATCTGAGACGTAGTTCGGCGCTTTCGTACGTTAAGTTTTGATCTGATCATATATAAAAGCTCTATTTTAGAACACACATGTAAACAATGTGAAAAATATACGTACACTTGGACAAGTGGCAACGCAATCTGCTGTGGCCATAACAGCAAGATCCAGGACACTTAAGTACTCTCCCATGTGGGAAACCTTCTCAGCATAGGCTAACATCCTGCTCTCCAAAGCCAAGGAAGCCTCTGATTGGCGCGCACCAGATGATTCCAACTTGATGTCCACTTTGGCTTTCTTGGACTTCGGTTTGGGCGGTGTGCTAACTGTAGGTTCAGTCTTAACTGTCACAGGCTCCTTCTTCAGAGGATCGGTCTTCACGTTCACTTTTGGTGCAGGCTTGACTGTCACTGGGTCCTTCTTCTCAGCAGGAGATTTGGGCTTCACGTTCGCTGTAGGTTCAGGCTTGATGCTCACTGGAGGACACGCAGGCTCCATACCCTCGTCAGGATTGGTGGGCTTCGCATTCTTGACCTTCTCGGCCTTGAGGGGAACTGCAGTGGTCTCGGTCTGGATGGGCTTGGCCTCCACAAGCTTCTCTGCTCCTGGCAATTTTCTCAATGAAACAAGATGAAACAAGCATAGCTCACCCATGCTCACCGTACGTCATCAATTGTCATCATATGTCTGTGGCTCCTTGAGACTCAGACGCCTGCAATGTGGCTGTGTCATTCGTTGTCTCGATGGCACCATCAAGCTTCCCTCCTGGCAGTCACAATCCGTGGATCAGAGGATGCGTGATACTGTTCAATGAACCTTCCGTAAAACAAGAGATATATAGAAGATTAAAGAAATAAATGAAATAAAAAATATCGAATCTAACACAACTACATTGCAAAACATCACGCAGCGTGGTCTCGTCCTGAAGAAGTTGCCGGAACAACTCCAATGTTCTGCGGCATCTCCATTGTAGCATCTCCTGGTCAACACCAGAAGATACCAGAAGTATTCCCATGGCCCCATGGAAAGCCAACTGCATTATACGGTTGATTCAGTTCGTTTGCAAAACTGTGGCTCCTCCAGAAGGTTTCTGAGAATCTTGACCATTTCCTGCAG